CCCCCCCTTCCATCCATCCATCCATCCATCTCCTTCTTCTTCTTGGAACTTGTTAAGCAGTCTCCCTCCATCCCTCCATCCTCGCATCTCGCCATTCCTCCCCCCCGTCCAACCCTCCATCCTCCTATCTCGCCATCCCTTCCCCCGTTCCCTCTAGTTCTTCTTCAACATTGGTTAGCAACCTTCCTCTATCCCTCGATTCTCCCATCTCGCCATCCGTCCCCGCCTCGCTCCATCCATCCATCCATCCATCTTTTTCTTCTTCTTCTTCTTCTTCTTCTTCTTCTTCTTATACTTCTTCTTCCTCTTCTTCTTCTTCTTCTTCTTCTTCTTTTTCTTCTTCTTTTTCTTGGACGTTGTTTAGCAGTCTCCATTCATCCATCCATCATCCCATCTCGCCGTCCCTCCCTCCCTCCATCCATTCATCAATCCATCTTCTTCTTTGTCTTCTCCTTCTCCTTCTCCTTCTTCTTGAACATTGTTAAGCTGTAGGGCGAGAATTGAAGCTGCAGGGAGGACGTGGTTGCAACACTATGGCTGGTGGGAGCAGTGCAAGGGGTGCGATTGCTAGACAAGGAAGTCGAAGGCAGTTGGAAAGAGGAGAGGGCAGTGGGAAGGACATCGCGAGCTCAAGTACACCTTCGTCGGGGGTGACTTCTAATGACCCCACACCGGCAACTGACCCCTCCCTGTTCGTCCCACAGCCTGAGGAGAAGCAAAAGAAGCTGCAGGGAGACGAGATACGGAAGCACGTGGAACAAGGGTAGGAGGCTGTGCCGAAGGGCCAGAGAGAGTATTAGCTGAGGTGTCGGCTATGCTCGACCATTTGGAGGGGCACGAGCACATGAGCAGTTGAGCACTTCATGAAGATGCTTAAGTTGTGCCCTTCCCGGACAGGGGAGATTGTGCATAAGCTGGTGGCCCAAAGGGCGAAGGTGCTGCCAAGCGACAAGAAGACTCACTACCTATTGCAGAACTACCGGCAACTGCACAACAACAATTTTTTGAACTTCGACACCACTCTCAAACTGCACGAGCTGTATTTGGAGGTGGCCAGAGCACGACCGAAGGTAAAATTGCCTTCTGCGAAGCACATTCGGACGCTAATGATCGACTTCATCTTTTTGCGCATTCAAAAGCAAGTGCAGCCTCTGACTGCATGCTGGGATGTCACGGGTTGCACTTTCATCACGGACGGTTCGACCGATCGGAGGGAAAAACCTGTCATGAATTTCTTGGCGGCGAGGGAGCAGGGAGCGGTGCTGGTGGCAACGATGTCGATGGATGGAAAGAAGAAGACCGGACCAGCGCTGTCCAAACTTTGGGAGAAGATAATGAGGGAGATCGGGCTGCAACGCATCAATGCGATTTGCACCGACAATGCGGAGATGAACAAGAAGGCCGCGCAAATTTTGGAGAGGCGCACGGACTTGGCGGTTTCACGGATACCTTGGGTTCCGTGTGTTGAGCATTGTTGCAGCTTGCTGCTACGGGACATCAGCAAGTTGGATTGGATCAAGGGCACGGTGAAGCGGAGCCACACCATTGTCAAGTTTACACGGAACCACCACTGCACACATAGCCTAATGATGTCGTTGGATGACTCATTATCGCTCTTGCGACCGACCGAGGTCCGTTTTGGGTCGGTCTACATGATGATGGAGCGGTTGTACGATCGGAGGGCGATTTTGAAGCAGATGGTCGAACGGAGCCTAGTCGGGAGATGGAAGGCGATGCTGTGGTCGACAACCAAACTGCAGTCCAAAGCGGATCTTATCTTCTTCACATTGCGGAATGAGGGTTGGTGGCCCGAGTTGAAGAAGGTGGTGGAGGTGATGGATGTATGTATTGCTTCGGAGGATGGACAAGGACGAGACTGCCCCGTCAAACCTTGTGGAGTACGACCGACTAACGGAGAGGATGCTGGCGGAGGTCGTGCTGACGGAGGAGCAGCGACGTACGGTGCTCGATAAGGTGAGGGACCGCATGAAGATGATGCGGCAACCGGTACACGCCTTGGCTTTTCTTCTCGACCCGCGGAGGAGAGAGCCAAAGTGGTTGTTGGACCAGGACAACGCACTTGTGGAGAATGCGCTGCGTTATTTGCAGTGGCAGATCGGCGGTGCTTGGAAATCAGACGCCCACGTGTAGATTCTCCGCGACCTGCGAGAGTTCCACACGAAACCGAACGGGCACAATCCTCGGCGGAAGGACAAGAAAATGTGGGATGGTGATGCAGTCGCAGATTCTAACACCATCTCGCCATCGGAGTGGTGGGCGACTCATGGCGGCGATGTGCCGCAGCTGCAGGCCATTGCCATGAAAGTAATGGGCATGTGGAGCACGGCGACTCCGGCGGAGCGGAAGTGGTCTTCGATGGACTTGTTCCACTCGAAGCGACGGAATCAGTTGAACCCCTCAACCTTGGAGAAGTTGGTCTATATTCACTGGAATATGCAACTGCTGCATTCCGGGAAAAACTTAAAGGACGTCGGCTACATCGACTTATGGGCGCAGTTCTTCGAGTCTCTTCTGGAGCCTGAGGCGGACGATGGTTCTATTTTGAAGGACCCGGTGGAGGAGAAGGACAAGACGGAGGACAAGCTAGTGCGGGAACGGACCTTCATCAAGACACTAAAGGGCCGGATTCCGAAGAACCTCGAAGACGAGGAGGAGGAGGAGGAGTGCACCGACGACAACGACCTTGATGATGAGGTGTAGAAGGGGAAGACTCCATGGTCGGAAGCGTCTAGCGAAGGGGAAGTTGATGAGTCATCAGACGATGACTGAGTTGGGAATCCCGCCGTCAATCTCGTGCACTACATATGTCGGGATGAGGGAAGCAGCACAGCGTCGTCGAGAACGGCTGCCCACAACACCATCTCAATGCACGGCGAACACCACAGCGCATTACAACATCCAATCGGATGTCGAGGTACCACAGACCGACACCGACATGGAGATGGTGCTTTGCCACGGTCCAATCAACAAAGATGAGGAGGAGGCCGACCGTGCACAGGCATGGGTTAATGCGGATCAAGAACGGGTGCAAAGAAGGATGAGGGAGGAGGAGGAGCGACGCGCAGCTATACCAACCTGCAGAGAATTGGAGAAACTGAAGAAGAAGGTTGGGGAGCAAGAATCGGAGTCAGTGGGGAATATGGGTCGGCTAGAGGAGGAGAAAGAAGAGGCGATCGGCCAGCGAGAGGAGGAGGCAGAACACGAGATTGGCCAGCCACGGGAGGAAAAAAAAAAGATGGAGGAGCAAGAGGAGGGAGAAGAAGAGGCTGGCATGAAACAGCAAGAAGAGGAGGAAGAGGAGGGAGAATAAGAGGCTGGCATAGAGCAACGGGAGGAGGAGATGGAACAGGAGCAAGGAGACGGCACAAAACAGCAAGAAGAGGAGCTGGAGGAGAGTGAGAACGAGCAGCAGTAGGAAAAGACGGCGAACATCGAGGAGGAGCAGCCTGCACCGACGACCGTGTACAAGCGTCGGAAGTAAACTGTGGAGGCTGCTGGCTCACCGGAGAAACTTCCACGTGGCAGGCCTCGGAAGAACGCGACTGTCGGTCCGGCTGCAAAGCCAAAAAAAAAAAAAACAGCGGTGCAAGGCTCGCAAACAAATTGTTTGCCGAAGACGAGGGTGGCACCGCTAACTGAGATTGTGTGTTTGTGTTTGTGACTGCGTGTGGAGAGAGAGAGAGAGAGAGAGAGAGAGAGAGAGAGAGAGAGAGAGAGGAGGGTGGGACCGCTGAGAGAGAGAGAGAGAGAGAGAGAGAGAGAGAGAGAGAGAGAGAGAGAGAGAGAGCGAGAGATCTGTTCGAATGTGGACCGATATTGGCCATATGCAACTGATATGTTGCTAAAGAACTCATAGATTCCCTGCAAGTTGTCAGTCTAAAAGTTTTCTTCTTCGTCTTGTCAATCTTATCAGTCTTCTTCTTCTTCTCCTTCTCGTCAGTCTTCTTCATTTTTTGTCAGAATGAAAGGGTCGATAAGTTCATAGTATGCATGCAGCAGACATCAGAGCAAACATGCAGAGCACCCAACCCAGTAGGCAACATACATGCAAGTCCCCCAACCCCCAGACACCCCCCCAACCCCAGCACCCCCCACCCAAACCAACCCCCCCCACCCACCCCCCAGAACCAAACTTTTATTGCGGATTCAGGATCCTCTCGCCCAGCGCAGAACGACCCCGTTTTCCAAAAAAAAATAAAAAAAATTATGGGCAGTTTTTTTGCCCGCCTGGTTTACCCGAGCGGCCCCCCGGGGCCCGACCGGCCGGGCGGCGTCCTCACCCAGCAAAAATGAAACAGGGGGTTCGACTCGCGCGCGCGTGTATGTGTGTAGACGTTTGTGTGTGTGTGTGTGTGTGTGTGTGTGTGTGTGTGTGTG